ATATTTTCTCCCAGTCTTTAACAGGTTTTTTGCTTTGTTTTGTTTTGTTTGTTTTTTAAATTTTAAATGGTTTCTTTTGAAGTGCAAAAGGAATTTCATTTTGTAGGGTGCCTGGGTGACTCAGTTGGTTAAGCATCTGACTTTGGCTCAGGTCATGATCTCACAGTTCGTGGTTTCGAGCTCCGTGTCAGGCTCTGTGCTGACAGCTCAGAGCCTGGAGCCTGCTTCGGATTCTGTGTCACCCTCTCTCTCTTCTCCCCTGCTCATGCTCTCTCTCGCTCTCACTCTCAAAAGTAAACATTTAAAAATATATATTAAAAAAGAATTTCATTTTGATGACATATAATTTACTGATTTTTTTCATTTGTCACTTGTACTTTTGCTGTTGTATCTAAGATCTCTGCCTAACTCAGGGTCACGAAGGTTTTTCCCCCCCATGGTTTCTTCAGAGGTTTTATTTTAGCTCTTATGGTTAGGTCTAGGACCTATTTTGAGTTAATTTTTGTAGATTGTGTGAGGTAAGGATCTAAATTCATCTTTTGGCATGTGGATCTTGCCTAGTCTATTGTCCTAGAACTATTTATTGAAAACACTAATCTTTGCCCCCCCAATTCTCTTTGCACCTTTGTCAAAAAATCATTTGACCAGAAATGTAAGGGTTTATATTTGAAGTTTTGATTCTATTCCATTAATCTATTAACCTATTCTTTCTTTGTTGTTCTTTTTTTATTAAAAAAAAAAAAACCAAACTCAGATATAACTTTGATCTCTTGAGTGTACCTTTCTGTGAGTCCTTACATACAATTGTATATCCACCACCATGACCAACATACAGAACAGCTCCGTCACCTCCTCATCAGTCCCTGTGCTGTTTGCTGGCAACCCCTATCCCTCCTCCCCAACCCCAGATCGGTCTTCTGTGCTTATGGTTCCACCCCCTCCAGAAAGCCTATACATGGAATCCTACGGCACTCCGGCCTTCTGAGTCTTGCTTCCCGGTCTAACCCATCCTTCAACATCCAGAGTGATCTTTCCAAAATATAAATCTGCCCACTTCTCTGTGTTCAAGCCGAGAGAGACACTGCAGGGTCTGGCCTCAGCCCATAGTTCCTGCCTGTCTGGACAGACAGGATGGATGGCTCTTAAACCTGGTTTAACCACCTGAGGGCTTGTCAATACCACACATTCCTGGGTCTTGGCCCCAGAGACTGAGATTCAGCAGGTGGGGAGGGGCCCAGGGATCTGTTTTTTATACAAGCCTAGGGAGATGTGGAGGCCGGTGGTCACAGGCCACACTTGGAGAAACACAGCTCAGTCCAAAGCACCTGCCTTTCTCCACACCTGCTCAAGCTTACCTGTGTGGCCTCCTCTCCTTCCTTCTCTTCAGCCTATGTATGCTGTGTCCCCTCCTGCCAAGGGCTTTGGCATTTGTTTCCCCATCATGAAAGATGCCCCCCTCATTCCCACCCACCGATCTCAACCTTCTCCCTGCTCCAGACAGCTTCCCCTCTGTTCAATTGTCACTTCCACAGAGAAGGCTTCCCCAACTCCCTGAGTGAGTCATTTTCCCACCGTATTTGTCACCTGTTATTTCTTATTTTTGTGTGATTTTTTTAGTTTATTTATTTTCAGAGAGCGAGAGAGCGCGAGAGAGAGCAGGTGAGGGGTAGAAAGAGAGGGAGAGAGAGAATCCCAAGAAGCCTCCTAGCTGTCAGCACAGAGCCCAATGCACGGCTCAATCTTACCAACTGTGAGATTGCAACCTGAGTCAAAATCAAGAGTCAGACACTTACTTGACCGGGCTACCCAAGTGCTACTTATTTTTATGTTTTTTTTTTTCCTAATGTTTATTCATTTTTGAGAGAGAGAGAGAAGGAAAGAATGAGAGAGGGGGAGAGAGAGAGGGGGACAGAGGATCCAAAGTGGGCTCTGCTCTGACAGCAGTGTGTCCGATATGGGTCTTGATTTCATGAACTGTGGGATCATGACCTGAGCCGATGTCAGATGCTCAACTGACTGGAACCACCCAGGCGCCCATATGTGATTCTTTGCTTAATATCAGTCTATCCAACTGGGCTGCATGAGGCTAAGGGCAGGATCTGTTTTTGTTGCTCTTCACTTTTTCCCCAGTACCAGCTTGCGGCTGGCATTCAGTAGGTACTTAAAAAACAGTAACTGGATGAATGAAGGAATGATTGAGTGAATTGTCTACTGTGCTTTGCACAAGCTGCTCCATGGCCCAGGTGACTTTGTCTCCTCCCCCACTTCTTTGCTTGGTCCACTCATACTGGTTTTTCCAAGGAAAACCCAGTTTGGAGAAAGTTGAGGCTAGAGCCACTCCTTGATGGTCCCCCAGGGCAGACCTCTTATCACTCCATGGACTGTTTGTTTACCCAACTGTCACCAACTCCTGGTTGGGAGGTGGTCACTGCATTTGATCCAGGCCCTCTCCCTGACCCTTGTGTGTGCCTAACGCTGAAGGAGTGAGCTAAAGTGATGGCTCTAAGCAGGAGGGTGGGGGTCCCCTGGCACCTGGCCAGAGCTTCCCTCAGATCACTCCTCCCACCATGAGACCCTGCCTAACCCCTTTAATTTCAGAAGAAGCTGAGACCCTGGACATTGCCAAGAAGGGAGAACATACCCTGGGTGCCTCTGAGGGCCAGGGTGCAGGCTCGGTGGCCAGACTGTGGCTGGAGGTCAAGGGACAGGCATTGTAGCTGGACACCCCTCTGGCTGGCTTCCCTCTTTCACGGAGTGCTCTTTGCCCCATCAGGTGGGACTTAGAGCCGCCGACAGGCCCCCTAGCTTGGCCAATGAGCAGACCCGATTTGGTGAGGAGCCTGGGAAAGGGTGCACCGGCTGTTTCCCCTTACCTTCCAGCCCCCAGCCCCTCCCTCCCAGGTCACAAGGACTTCAGATCTTCGCTCTCGAGGCTGTTCAGTTCGACTGTCTTCCCCGCCTCTCCCCTGGCACCTGCTGCCGGGCTAAGAAGTGCAAAAACAATCCCAGCCTGAGTAGAGTGTCAGGGAGTCCCCGCCCCTCCTCCTGTGGTTCCTCCTCCCATGCTTCCCCCCGGCCCCGCCCCCACCTGCCCAAGATAATTTTAGTTTCCTTCGTCCAGGAGCCTGGACACACAGGGCTGTCCCTCCCCCAACCCTCACTTCAACGTCCAAAGTCGGGACGCCCTCCTACCACCTGTAGAGAAGAGGGAGTGGATTTGAAATCAAGTCCAGGTATCTGGGGTCCCTAGACAGAACCGGACTTCGGACCCCGTGTCCTGCTACTCCCGCTGGGGCTTCTCTAGGTAAGGTTACCAGGATCGGTTCCAGACGATAACCTGCTCCCACCCCCAGCCGCACCAGGGCCCCAGACTGTGGCCGTCTCAGAGCCAGGAGCTGGCAGGCTGCCCTGGTGGGCGGACGGACAGCTGCCTGGCTCCCCCTCCCTCTCCCCCCTGTGATGTCAGGCCAAGGGCGGGGGCAAGAGGGGGACAGGTAGTTAAGGGCCAGGCGTCTCCCTTCCTAAACCGGTGGCCCCAGCCAAGTGCTCCAACTCCAGGGTCCAGGTAAGGACCAAAACGCGCCCTTCATCTTGAGGGTGGGGAGCAGCAGCACGTCCGGGGGCAACCTGGAAAGATTCAGCCTCCTTCTGCGTTACTCTGGCGGCCACGCTTTCTCTTTTTCTCCAGTCTCCCTATCCCGCCCCTTCCTCACCATCTGCCCTCAGTCTTTCCCTATTCTCATTTCCTGCCTTCCTTATTCCTTCCTTCCCTCCTTGTACCCCGCCTCCCTCTGCCCGTCCCCCCTTCCCGACTAAGCAGCTGATGAGGATGAGAAAGGGAGATCTCTGATGCTCTCCTCCCAGAGACGCTGCTTTCCCGCTGAAACTGGCCCCTCCCTACCTCCGCAGAGAAGAGAGCTGGGGGGTGGAGGGGGGGGGGCGAATACCGAGGACTGCCTCGAATCAATCCTTGCTCAGCCGGAGGTTACCCGTTTGAGGTTTCCCCAAGGCTCTACTAAAGATTGACGTCTCCCCTGGGGAAGGGGGACCCTCCCATTTGGAGGGCAGTAGAGGAGAGAGATTCCCTTAAGTTTCCAGAACTCCGTCTCCTATTGTTTGCCTGCTCAGAACACAGGGTCCTGCCTTCGGAAGGGAAGGTGGGGGCGGGGCAGGCCTGAGGGTCCTTCCCGCCTTCGGAAGGGAGGCTCAGAGGCTGGAGGGCTGGATGCGGAAGGGGGGGGGGCGTGGTGGGTCCTGCAGAGCAGTGGGGCCTAGAGAAAGTGTGTGTACGTGTTTGGGGGAGGTAGTGTTTGGAGAAAGACTCGAATCTGGGTCTCCGTGGCACTACGGAGATGGGAGAATGCACCTGTCAGCCGTTGGAAGGACTCCCAACCCCTCTGCCCCTCTCGGTCGGCCTGCCTGCCCTGGACTCTGGTCTCCCTTCTCCCCCTCATCCTGCTGGGGGAGCCCTCCACGAAGGCAAGCAGCATGTAATGATTAACTCCACAGACACTCCAACATTCTTCCCAAATTAAACTTTAAGAGAGCTTACCCCCCTTTTCCCATTGGTCATTTTTTGAGCGAGGGAGTGGGCGGGGCCTCAAGGTCCTGGGCCCTCCTCCCAACTCTGGGGCACCTAGGGGTTTCCCGCCTCCTCACCTGGGCCCTGCACCCCCAGAACTACCCCGAAGGTTGAACCTTCTCCCCCTAACAATAAATCTCGATGGGGGCGGGGCGTGGAGTGCTCGGCCAGACGGGGGCCTTCCCGCCACCTGCTGGTCCCCAGCCCAGGCCTGGGCCCTGCCAGCCCCTCCCCCTCCCCTGGTTAGCTACGGAGGTGGCCTTGTTTTCTTGCCCCGCCACCCGCCCTTGGGGCCAGCCAGGTGGGGCGAGATTCAGGAAGTAAACAAGGAGGCAGGAGGCTGGGACGGCGGGAAGGAGGGTGGGGCCGGAGCCTCGGGGCAGGAGAGGCCATCGGGGAAGCTTCGGCGTGGAGTTGCTGTGTTGAGGGGACTGATAGATTCCGGGGGTCTGTTTCGTCAACAGAAGCTTTCTCAGAGCCCCACTTTAAAAAAGTTCAGGTTTCTTGGGAGGGGGGCTGGCGGGGCCCCACAGCTAGGACCCCCATTCTTCTCCCATTTCATCTATCTGATGAAATGCCCCCACTCCTCTTGCCTTAGAAGGGTCTGGAGGGCAGGGTGAAGGGTTGGAAAACCCAAATGCAATCTTCAGTGGGCCCTCCAGCCCTCTGAGGCCAGACTCGAATCTGATTCTGATTTAAATCTACTCCTCTTTCCCTGTCCAAACACTGCCCTGGTTCGTCTTCCCTCTGGGGTGGAGGAGGACCCCACTTTTCATCTCTGATATCCTGTCTGGCTTCCTGCGCTCCCCCCTCCCCCAGTCTCCCTCTCCGTGGAGTGAAGTCACCAGGGCTGGTTGCCAGAAGATAAACGGGATGGGAGTGGGGACACTGTTTTGTTGCTGATGTTCTGGTGTCTGTTGATGTTCACTGGTGGGTGTGTTTCGCCCTTCCCTGCAGGGCCCTGAGCCCCCTCCCTGTCTCTCCCTCCAGCCTTTCCTTTTCTGCCTGTCGGTGTCTGTCCTCTTGTGTGTCTTGACTTTCTACTTCTGCTCCCGTAGTACCCTTCCAGCCAAGGACACCCCAAAGAGTGTGGTCTGGAGGACCCCCGTCCCCCAGGGTTGCTGTAGATGAGTCCTCTGGGCCACTGAGTCCTGGGTTCCAGGGGTGAGCAGCAGCATCGGAATGAAAGCCTGGGAGGCCCCAGACAGGCTAGGGAGCACTTGGTTTCTTTGGGTGAGTGAGGGCATCACTGGAGGTCAGCTCCACTCCAGATGGGCCTTTGAATCCAGGCCGGGCCTTTCTTCTCTCCCTGCGGGAGGGGGCTCCTGGGCAGGGTGGTGGCTACCAGATTGGGGGCCGACTGAAAGTCCCACCTGGGCTGGAGGTGGGCCAAGGGTGGGGAGGAGAAAATGATGTCAGAGCTGCCGCCTGCCCCACAGCTTCTTTCTCCCCCATCCAGTCCCTGCCCTGTGCCTCCCCCATTCCTCACAGGCTGGTAGGTTGGGGGCGGAGTGGAGGGAGGTGGGCAGAGGCTGTTTGTGTTTCTCCTAAGCCAGGAAGTTCTGCAGATGAGTCAAGGTTGAATAGAGAGCCCCAGGCAGTGCTGTCCCGCCCCACCCTGACTCACCTGCCCCCCAAATCCCCTCACTTAAGAGTCCCAGGCCTGCCCCTTCCTGGAGGGTCAATGCCAGGTGCCCCCAGGAGCCAGGCCCCTTCCTGGAGGGTCAGTGCCAGGTGCCCCCAGGAGCCTCACAGCGCTGGCCTAGGTCTCAGGTGCTCCCAGGTCCTCACCCAGCCTGAGAGGTCTTTCTTCCTGTGGAGGAGGAGCCCGTGCTACCTCTGCCCCTGGTGGGCATTTTTGCCCCAGCTCTGCTGTCCTTAGTTGTCCCAGGTGCCTGTGCAGCACCTGGGGCGATAAGACATGGGTAAGACCCTGGCCTTGCCTAGCAGTGCTGGCCGTCTTCAGACCAGTGAGTGGATAAGACAGGTGCATGTAATTGGCGCTGAGGCCCCTGCACAGTGTAGAGAGTGAGACCTTCAGTGTGAAGGTGGAAAATCCAGGAACGCTGCTCAGAGGAGGTAGCTCTGGCACTGGGGCTTCAAAAGTGTTGGGCAGGGGGAGGAATCTGGGGAGGGCACAGAAGGTTTAGGGGCTGCTGGGGCCAGGGCCCCCAGGCTAGTCCTGTCCTTCTCACTGCGGCTGAGCCTGCCTCCTGGTTCCTGTCCTGGCCCACCTCCTTCACCCCTCCTGTGCATCACTCAGCACTTGGGCAGGCGTTGCCACAACAGGCTCTGGCAACCAGGTTTGGCAACAAAGCACTGGAAAAACCTGGGGCAGAGCCCAGAGGAGTTGAGTGCCCTGTGCTCAGAGCATGCTCAGAGACTGCACATCTGAGCCTCGAACAGTCTGCGGGTCATGGAGTCTGTGGCTCCACGGTGGTCGAGTGGGACCCTCTTAGCTCTTTCCCTGGGCAACCTGGGGCTAACAGAAGGGCACTGGACTTGGAGTCCAAACACCAGGTTCCACTCCCTGATTCACCTGTGACAGGGGCAAGAATGCTTCCTTCTCAGGGACTTGAAGTCCCTTTTTGTAAACGGGCTCACTCTACCCTTTCCCCAGAGGCTCCAGGGAAACTCCAGTTAGAGGGGGGAGCAATAAGGCGCTGTGTAAACTCTGAGGGGCACCTTGGCAGCTGTGTGGAGTCAGGAGGTCTGGGTCCTCTTGGTCCCTCTCCCCAGGACAAGGGGTCAAGAGCAGCCACTTTCAGCCCCCTCTTCTCCCTCAGATGTTATGGAGCTCGGTCTGTCTCCACCTCATCTCAGCAGCTCCCCGGAAGACCTGTACCTGACCCCTGGGACCCCTCCTGGGACTCCCCTGCCTCCCGATGCCCCTCTGCCGGGGGAGGTGAAGCGGTCCCAGCCTCTGCCCATTCCGACCAGCAGGTACAATGGGGTGATGGAGCCGAGGAGGGGCTGGGGGGGGTGGGGCCCGTGCGGGGTAAGACAGAAGCTTGTAGTCAACTCCTTCTCCGCCCCCTACCTCGGGCCACAGGAATCTTCTTCGAGAGGAGGAGCTGCGGACAAGCTCTCTACCCTCCATCCCCAACCCCTTCCCTGAGCTCTGCAGTCCTCCTTCGCAGACTCCCATTCTTGGGGGTTCCTCCAGTGTGAGGGGGCTGCTCCCTCGAGACGCCAGCCGCCCCCATGTGAGTTGTCTTGGGAAAAGGAAGGCAGGGGTGTGGGGATGCTGTGGCCATGAGGGTGGATATGGTACCACTTCCGTGGAGGCTGGGGGATTTGATCAGGAATCCCTACAGGCAGAGCAGGCAGCAGAAGGGAAGTAACTACCCTTTGCCCTTCCTCCAGTCATCTGCAGTTTTTGGGGTACAGGTAGTAAAGGTGTACAGTGAAGATGGGGCTTGCCGGTCTGTGGAGGTGGCCGCCGGTGCTACAGCTCGCTACGTGTGTGAAATGCTGGTGCAGCGAGCTCACGCCTTGAGTGATGAAAACTGGGGGCTGGTGGAGTGCCACCCCCATCTGGCACTGGGTGAGTTGGGGTGAAATGGGGCTGCCTGGACAGGAAGGCAAATGCTTCACACGTTGTGTTGGGCGGGTGGCTCATCTGGGAGGCCTGGCTGGTCTCCGCTGACCCCTGCTTTTTGCCCTGAACCCCAGAGCGGGGCTTGGAGGACCATGAGTCAGTGGTGGAAGTGCAGGCTGCCTGGCCCATTGGTGGAGACAGCCGCTTTGTCTTCCGGAAGAACTTCGCCAAGTATGAACTGTTCAAGAGCTCCCCAGTGAGTGTGGGTGAAGGGGGTCTGGGCACTGGGATACCCTGATCCCCAACTTGGGCCTTCACTCCCTGGCTCCTGACTCCTTTCCCCCCAGCACTCCCTGTTCCCAGAAAAGATGGTCTCCAGCTGTCTGGACGCACACGCAGGCCTATCCCATGAAGACCTCATCCAGGTAAAGGGATACCTCCATTCATGATCCCCCAGGATCACCTATCGCTTTTTGGCCTTTAAGCATTGTGCCTTAAGCATATGGTGGAGGGCTTAGCACAGTCCTAAGTGACCGGAGAAGTCACTTTTCCTGGCTGAGCATCCGTTTCTTCATCTGGTAAATGGGACAGTGAATGTATGTGGAGCCCCTTCTCTCGTGAAGGCCTTTGTGTGAGTGTGTGTGTGTGTGTGTGTGTATGTATCTCCTGGTCTCTCTCGGTGTCTCACACGCTTCCTGCTCTCTTCTGGCCTCAGAACTTCCTCAATGCAGGCAGCTTCCCAGAGATCCAGGGCTTCCTGCAGCTCCGGGGGTCAGGACGGAAGCTTTGGAAACGCTTCTTCTGCTTCCTGCGCCGGTCGGGCCTCTATTACTCCACAAAGGGCACTTCCAAGGTGAGGTCTTGAGGGTTGACAGCCCCAGCCCCTAGGATATCCCATTTCTGGTCCTTCTAGGAGTTGTCCCTTCCCTGTTGGAACTCCTGGGCCTTTCTTCCCCTGGACCCTGAGACCCTCAGCTGCTCCTCTCTCCCCTCTAGCTTACCTACCCCAGGAAGTAGTGGTGGGAAAGGCAGGTGAAACTGAGTTTGAGTCCTGGCTCTACTTCTGTTTGCTGTGTGACCTGAGGCACTTCTCTGCTGCTCTCTGGTCCTGAAATCTCCCCAGCTGGCTTATAGGGACAATAACAGGGGGATAGGGTCTGCCTGTTACAAGTGCTACCTGCCCATGCTGCACAGGATCCAAGGCACCTGCAGTATGTAGCAGATGTGAACGAGTCCAATGTGTACGTGGTGACCCAGGGCCGCAAGCTCTATGGGATGCCCACGGACTTCGGCTTCTGTATCAAGGTAAAGACCCTGGCCTGGCCTGGGAGGGAACAGGAGCTGCTCAGGCCCCGGGATCCTACCTAGGGCTTCTGAGCTCCCATCTGGGACACCCAGACTCCTCCCCCTGCCCCGTGCCCTGCCCTACAGGGAGAGACACGGAGACAGACATCTGGTCCTAATATCAGATATGGGACCAGCTGGTTTCCTCTGTCTACAGCCAAACAAGCTTCGAAATGGCCACAAGGGGCTTCGGGTCTTCTGCAGCGAGGATGAGCAGAGTCGCACCTGCTGGTTAGCAGCTTTCCGCCTCTTCAAGGTGAGACCGCAGGAGTGGCAGGGGGGCGTGAGTGAGGAGTTGTAACTCTGCCCCCAGGAATGAGGGGGCATCAGAGCCTTGCTCTCTCAGTGTGTCCGGTCCTCGCTCTGGCTTCAGAAAGCTCCTCATCCAGGGCAGAGATGCAGTCTTGCTCTTGGGGAGTTCTGGTGTGCGGGGTCCACGGCCCAGCCGCCAGCACCTGCTTGGCCTCAGGTCCTTTTTCTCTCTCCAACCCACAGTATGGGGTGCAGCTATATAAGAATTATCAGCAGGCGCAGCCTCGCCACCTGCGTCCGCCCTGTATGGGTTCCCCACCTTTGGTGAGTGTGCACAGAAGCTTTAGCTTGGGGGGGGCACTCAGGCCCCATCTTGGGGACCCATGGGCCCTGTTCTGACCCCTCTCCATCCTATCCCATCTACAGAGGAGTGTCTCTGATAACACCCTGGTGGCCATGGACTTCTCTGGCCATGCTGGGCGTGTCATCGAGAACCCCCGGGAAGCTCTGAGTGCAGCCCTGGAGGAGGCCCAGGCCTGGAGGGTGAGGGGCTGTACCCATCTGCATGGTTATACTGGGCACCTTCTCTCCATGTGGGTTTCCATGGCATGGGAGGAAGAGTGGGGGGCGGGGTAAGGCAGGCCCCCAGGTGCGGAAAGGGTCTCTATGTTCTTGAGGTGCCGGGTGATACCTCAGTCACGCCCTGACCCCTTGTGTCCCCCACTGCTCTGCAGAAGAACCACCGTCTCAGCCTGCCCACCCCAGGCTCAGGCACGAGCCTCAGTGCAGGTGGGTGAGCACCCTGCGTCCCCAGGGGTGGAGGCTGCCGTGGCTTCTCTGAGCATTCCCGGTGGGGGAGGTCAGGATGGGGTCTCCTGCCCAGAGTGACTGCCCGTCTGCCTCCCCCAACTCCAGCCATCCACCGCACCCAACCCTGGTTCCATGGACGCATCTCCCGAGAGGAGAGCCAGCGGCTCATCGGGCAGCAGGGCCTGGTGGACGGGTAAGGGGCAGGGCGGAGCAGGCCAGCAGACCCAGGGATAGGAAAGGCCCCGCATCAAGGCGGCAGCTGTGTGTCCTCGGGTAACGTTGCTCCATCTCCTGGCAGCCTGTTCCTTGTTCGAGAGAGTCAGCGGAACCCACAGGGCTTTGTCCTCTCTCTGTGCCACTTGCAGAAGGTCAAACATTATCTCATCCTCCCGGTGAGTAAGCCCTATCTCTTCGCCACGCCCCCTCGAGAAGCTCCCTGGCCCGCAGCGTGTCTGGGGGCTCCTGCTCTCTCCTTTGTCCCCGCGCAAGCCCTGGGGACCTCGGCCCCCACCAGGAGGGAGCCCCTCGAGCCCCTCCCTGACCTTCCACCCCACCTGCTATGGCCGTCGTCCCCCCAGAGTGAGGAGGAGGGCCGCCTGTACTTCACCATGGATGACGGCCAGACTCGCTTCACGGACCTGCTGCAGCTCGTGGAGTTCCACCAGCTGAACCGTGGCATCCTGCCGTGCCTGCTGCGCCACTGCTGTACTCGCGTGGCCCTCTGACGGCCACAGAAGCAGGCATGTGTCTCAGCCTGTTCTAGGCTGGCCACTGTCCCCTATGCTCATAGGGTGGACTTGGAGGGCGCAGAAGGTGGGGACAGGCTCATGAATGATTAGACGGCTCCCCTACTCCAGAGAGTTCTCTCCTCTGCCCCTTTGCTTCCCTCAGGCAGAAAGTGCTCCTCACCCACTCCACCCCCAACCTGTCTCCTCAAGCGAAGCACTCGGGTGGCCTTCCCCTTCACGGAACTCCTGGGCACCGCCCTGGGGCAGGGTGTTTTGGGAGAGATGGGGTAGCCCAGGTGGTCTTATGCCCCACACTTTGTACAGACTGAGAGGCCAGTTGATCTGCTCTGTTTTATACTAGTGACAATAAAGAGTATTTTTTGATACACTTATGAGTTCTGTCTGGTAAGACCTGGCTAGCTGGGGTAGAGAAGGGGAGGGGGAGAGGAGGGCACCAGGCCTTGGCAAATGTATCAGACGGGTCCAGGCCAGGTACCCTCCAGCCTGGATGTTTCTTTTTCTTCCTTTTTTTCCTTCCTTCCTGCCTTCCTTTCTTTCCTTATTTTTAAATGTTTATTTTTGAGAGAAGTGCATGCATGTGGGGGAGGGGTGGGGGGAGGGGGACAGAGGATCCGAAGAGGGCTCCATGTGGGGCTTGAACTCACGAACTGCGCAACTATGACCTAAGCTGAAGTCTGATGCTCCACCCACTGAGCCACCCAGGCACCCCCAGCCTGGAGGTTTCTTGAGGGCAGGGTGGTCTTGGTCATCTGAGAATCTCTAGTGTCCCAGCATGGAGCCTGGCCCATAGTGGGTGCCTAGTAACTTCTTGTTTAATAAATGAATGTATAACGGACTGTCATCCAGGTGAGATCTCCTGACAGGGCCTACAGCGATGGGGGTAATTCGGACAGGCCTGGAGTGCAGTCTCACAGCATGTATCCTCCGCGAGTCCCAGGCCAACTGCTGGGATGAGTCCTGACGGTTATATGTCTACAACCTACACTTGGACACGTGGCCCTCCACCTCTCCAAAGTCCCCGTGCCCCCCATGGTCAACCCCTCTCCCTCTTGCTTCCTGTCCTCATAGTTATGTTTCTTCCAGAAAGCCGTATAATGGCTTCCCTACAACACTCAGCCCTCTGAGTCTGGCTTCCCTCTCCAACTCAGCCTCCAACAACATCCAGAGTGATCTTTCCAAAATACAAGTCCACACGGATCATTCTAGGTCTGGCCTCTCCCCACTGCCCATGCTGGTCTGTTTTGTCTAAACAGTTTTGTCTAAGGGGGAATTTTATAGTTTGAGGTCTTATGTGACAGGATAGCTTTATAGCTCTGTCAAACTGGCAACACCTGAATCTGCCATTTGATTTTTAAATCACAAAGAGACCCTCTCTTCAGACACGTGAACTCCAACTAGACATGATTTTTTGCCAAGAAATAAAACCGCAGTCTCATCCTTTGGATCTAGCTACTAGTTTATCAGAAATACAGGGGACAGAGGGACATGTGAAATGACACATGGGGGATACAAATACCCGAATAGAAACTAGGAAACTACAGAACAGATAACCCAGTTTTTTTAACAATAGCAAAATTATAAGAAAAAATGGGGAATCTCTAGCTTTCAAGAAATGTAGACATATGTCAACTAGATGTTATGTGTTGACCTTATTTGATTCAAATCCGAACTAGTGAAGTGTAAAAATATTTATGAGCAATTGGGGGAAATTTGAGCTCTGAGGAGATTTTTGATATTAGGGAGTTATGGTTAACTTTTCAAGGGGGTGATAATGGTTGTGTGCGCGCGCACGCACGTGTGTGTGTGTGTCTTCATCTTTGAGAGAGTCATTCTGAAGTATTTACAGATAAAATGCTGTCTTATCTTTGTTTTTAAAATAACTCCAAGTTTAGGGGAGAGGGTGTGAGTATAGTCATCGTTTCGCCATGAGTTGATAATTGTTGAAGCTGGGCGATGGGCACATGGGGATTCATTAAATTCTCTAAATTTGTGCAGGATTGAAAATTCTATAGCAATTTTTTAAGGTTTTATTTTATTATTTATTTTGAGAGAGGGAGAGAGAGAATCCTAAGCCCCTGATGTGGGGCTAGAACCCACAAACTGTGAGATCATGACCTGAGGTGAAACCAAGAGTTGGATGCTTAACCGACTGAGCCACTTAGGCACCAAACCCCGTGAATTTTTTTAAATGGAGAACCTCTCCTCAGATCTTTGAGATTGGGCACGAGGTGGTGGGATCCTGTTTTGCTGGTGAGGAAACTGATGGCTCAGGGAGGAGACCTGCCCCAAATCACAGTGAGAGAGCCAGGATCTCAACTCGCGTCTGAATACAGGTCTGGGCTGTTCAGCTACCCCTGCCTGGCTGACTTCCTGGTGGAATTCCTAAATGGCCTGTGGGGGGTGAGGGGTAGGAATGTCCTCTCCTGAAGAGCCCTTCCCTTCTCCGTAGCCCTGGTCTCTGGTTAGCAAGTTGTCCTGAAGTGACCTTGGGAAGGACCAGCCACCATAGCCAGCCCTTGAGCCAGGCTTGGCAGTCCCGGTGGCCACTCATGACCAAGGCACCCCCAACCTTGGCTAATCCCAGGCTGGGGAGCCAGGTCTGTCAGACAGAGGTGGGTAGAAAGTTTTCATCCACCCTCCAGCCTGGAACCTTCTGGGGATCTACTCTGAAGAAATTTCTGCAGTCGAGGCATGAGAGGGTGCAGGTTTTGTTCCTTCTTAGCAGGAACCAAAGCAACCTGCTGTCTGCTGCCTGCCATGGTTTCCAGAACCATCCCATCACTGGCTGCTCCTCGGTCCTGAGCTGACTGGTGCGGGCTGTGTGACTGGCCAGGGATGCCCAGGGCCACTTCTAAGGTGCGGATGCTAGGGGTCCATGCTGGGGTGGGAGTAAAGGGATCAGTCATGCTTAAGTCACATCTTAAGCATGTCCAGGGGACTTAGGCTATATAAAAACAGGACCCAGTGTCTCCTCACAGTCTGAGGCACCAGGCAGGCAGCGGACAATGCCCTTCTGTGTCAATCAGCTGATCGGAGTATGTGGGACAGATATCATTCTCCATTTACAAATGGGAAACTGAGGCTCAAAAAGAGTGACTCACCTGAGGTCCTACATGGAGTTAGAGACAGAGGTCTGACTCAGCCCAGCCTGCAGGAGGTAGAACATAGCCCTTTCTGCCCTTTGTTTCTCTGTCCTCTCTGTTCTCCGTGCTGGCCACTAGGAAGGACCTGGGCCATTGGCGACCTCTTGAGGTGGCAGCTGGCTTGACCCCAAGCTGGATACTGGAAATCAGCAGCTGAACATCCTTGCTGGGCGGCTGAGATCTCTGGCTTCTTGGAGGAAAGGCAGCAGCTGAGAGTGTGGGGGACAAGGGCCCCTCAAGATCAGCTTGCAGAGGGACCCAGGGCGAGATTCCCCAGCTCTGAAGACATGGGAAGAATGCTGTTCTCCTGCCCAAAGAGGCTGAAGCATGAGCCACACAGGCCAGACAGCAAAGGGACTTCCAAGGGTAGCTGCAGTGCGGTTAGTGGAGGCTTGTGGTTATGAGGAAGACTGGGCTGGTGGGAGGGAGGCAGGGACATTGTGGAGAAGGTAGAGAGCTGGCACCTCAGATACTGTCTTTTCAATATCAAGTTATTGGGTTTGGTTATAAAAAGTATATGTGCTTTTAAAAGAATATTTCAGAAATTAGAAAAAGACTTGGAAAAGAAAAGGAAATTCCCAGGATCCAGGCATTGAGAGAGGGTAATGGAGGGCTCCCATCCAGGAGGCTGGCTCTAAATGGCCTGTATCATAGACACCAGCTAGTATGGCTGGTGTGAGCCTGCTGCCAGCGTATAGCTGTCTTTGGCAGCACCATGGGCCTGGAGGAGGGTGTGGCCACGGGGTTGACCTCCCTGCCTGGTCAAGTGTGGAAGGCAGGGAGGGCTGCTGCCAACTTTCTGGACTTTGGGAACAGGTGGGCATGATTCTAGGGAAGTCCACTTCTCCTATGGTGCCCTAGGTAGGACATCCGGACAACGTTCTGAACAAGTTATACTCTTCCTGCTCCCCAGACATCCTGTTCAATGAAATCTACATAGCCTCCAAGTTCATGGGTGGAGGGCCTCCTGGTGCCAGCAGAGGGTTCAACATTGGGTCAGCGATCCTGCTTGGCTCCTTCCTTGTGCCCAGTGCCAGGCACCCTGAGGAGGGAGAGAGGGAGGGAGGGAGGAAAGAATAAAAGGAGACAGGCAGGGGAGACCAAGGCCATTCAGAAGGATCCTTTCTTTCTAAACTGTCTACATAAGCAGTTTTCTACTGGCTTCCTGCAATCCAAGGGTTCCAGCAGGAACTGGGGGGCAGGTTGGGTTGGGGATGGGGAGAGCACTGATTGCCTTTATATCTGGGAATTCGGCTTCATGGCATATTTGGAAAAAAGGCTTCCATTACTGTGTGACGAACCTGGTCTAGCAGAGACGAACTTGCACAGAGCTAGGGTCTGTGGCAGAGTCTGCTCTCCTGTCCTGCGCTGTTGGTAGAACCTTAGTTTGGGGCTGAGGAGTGGGGTGTGCAGTGTGGCCTTTTAGGACATAGGATTCTGAGCTTCCAGCAGGGGTAGGGAGATGAGAGAGGAGGGAAAAGACATTGGGATCTTGGGGAAGCTGGATGTTGCAGGCTGGAGTCTAGAGCTACAGAGTGGGAGATCCTGGGGACTGAGGGGTTCTCCGTGATCTCCATACAGGAGGGCGGGTTAGGAAGTGGGGGTGCTATCTCTGCTGAGAAAGGTTGTGCTCTGGGGCTTCCTGAGGTCTGAAATGCAGTCCCATGTGGGTTGACCTGTGATGGGCTCTAGAGCCCTCTTGGCAGGGCTGCATCTGCTCCAAGGAAGAGGCAGGGTTTTCTTTGGTGGGCACTTGGGGGGTCTGTTTAGTTGGAGCTGCATTTTCATGGTAGGCGGTTTGTTTTTACTTGGATTGAGTTGATCTTGGGAGTGGTTTAGGAGAGACTGAGGGAAATTGGGAGGCCGCCCGCACCTCCACAGAGCTGCCCCCATGGACGTATTCCTCTGCAACTACCTGCGCACCCCACGCCCTGAGTTTGATCCAGGACTAGACAGCAGTGGGTATTCCTAGCAGACACTACCTCGATTTTCCAAAAGATTCCAGGGCGTCTCCTTTCTCCCAGCCCTCTTAACACCCATCAGTCACGATACAGGTGCCCACCTTTTGGTTCTCTACTTCCAAGCTGAGCCACCGCGTTCCACACTTGTAAGGGACGAGCTGGGGGGTGCGGAGGGGCCTTTGCACCAGTAAGGCGAGGCCTGAGTCTGACGAAACAGGAGTCAGAATGAGAATCCAGCAGTCTCTCTGGCTCCGCAGCACTGG